AAATAAACAGACATGTAACAACCTGCATTGAGGGTAATTGCAAGACTTGAAATTGTAATTATTACAAATTTGTGCCTTACCCAGGCACTGAATGGGCCTGCCTAGCTTGTCGAACTGCGTAGGCCCTGCGCTGGCCGGGCTAGTCAACAAACCCGCCGCTTTCTGCGTGGTGGTTAAGTCTGAAACCACAGGCGTAGGGCACCAATTAGAGGTATGCGCTGAAGATTGGCACGATGTACACACGGGAGCTTTGAGCCCGGCAAAGTGCCTACAGAATAACTCCGTATCCATTCTCCCCCAATTGGCCGTAAACTGAAATTGCGACAGTCCTGCTGCGGCTTTAGCTGAGAACGCCCGGTGATAGTCATAGTATGTCAACCCACCATATTTATAAGCTAAATCCATGATTATATGCAAATAAGCGTCCAGCTCTTCCCTGCGGCTGGGATTTGCTGAGCACACCACATCTCTATAAATGCCAAACGCTATGGCAAATTCTGGAATGGACAGTTTTCGACTAAGCCTAGGGTCCCTAGCTTTAAGGACGACTGATACCTCTTCACAGGCGAATGCCTTATGCTCGGTCACGTCATGCGCGGCTATCAGCAGCGACGCCAAATTGACATCTTTCCCCTCTAGTATGTCTTTCCTCAGTTTATCAGGAACGAAGTGAGCCGGAGTGATATAAGGTGTATCGGCCATCGTACCTGTGCTGGAGGACATCGGTGCGCTGGATGTACTTGGCACCGGTGCGGGGGAAGCTGCTACGTCTTGCGTTACAGGTACGGGGACCACCGGCGCTTGCCTCTCTAAAGCCTCTGTCCTATGCTGGAGGTCGTGGACCGTCTTGGCGAGGTCACTGATAGAGGCATGAATGTTGGTGAGCGAAGTGACAATGGTCTGTAAAGCTACGTGCCCTGAGCTCCCACTGGCCGCTGCTGGGGGAAATACTAATTTAAACAATTCTGCCTTCCTAGCGGAGGCTGAAAAGGGGATATTTTTCTTCCGTAGTTCCATAATAAGTCTAGGAATTGTCCAAGCCCTGAAGGACTGCGTGCTCCCTTGCTCCGAACCTCTGGCTGGAGTAGAAGGCAGGAACGCCATCTCCTCACTCTCGGACACATGAGACATAGTTGCTGACATACTGTAAAACATAATCCCAACATATAGAAATTACCGACCTGAAAATCCAACATCTCTCTATAACCCACACTCGCATCCTGCCACGCCGTGACCTAATTGCTGTGGGTTCTGGGGGTGTTTGTGGAATCTCCAGTCACCCAACCTCAGAATGTTAATTATCATCAGTGTGTAAATGACGAAGCGTATGACGTATGAATGGGGTATGAGTAACCAATTAGTTATTATGACTCTCATCACCCCCGACTAATCGGATTGTCAGAAATGTATACATACCTAAGTGTAGGGACAATCCGTACTGTATGCAAAATGATGGGTTTGCATGAAAAACCCCGAACTGCACGAACCGAAAACATGCCTTCAATACTAGATGTAAGAGGCCGCGCTGGCCCCACCAACAAATCTGCAGAAAATGTAGCAATCTGATCGCGTCCCTACCAGGAACTTGCTGTGCGAAGGTTTGGAACGACCGTATGGGTGAGACCTGCCGTATGTCATGCGCTGCTGGTACCAGCTGAAATAGGAACTGCAGGCGCACCCCGATGCCATCCAACCTGGCCGAATTGCTTGCAACTGCCCCCCCCCTCCTCATGGTAACCCTCCCCCCCCTTACCCCGGTGCCACATGTCTTGAAGCCTGCCCCAATGTACCTGTGCCCTGAACCCCTAATCCGTGTATCGCCCGACCCCCAGAACCTGCGTGAGCCCAACCCTGTATGTTGCCCTGTTGACATGCCCTCTGAATGCCCACCTGCACCAGAACCGTGACACCATACCCAATTGCCGTTTTACTCCCGGAACTGTAGCTTCCCCGCCCAAGTCACCCCCACTATATGCCCTGTACCGGAGACGTGCCGGCCATGCATGCAGAGTATGAGAACATGCCCGTTTTAATGTCAGCGATCCCCCCCTGCTGTTGCTAAAACAAAAAAGGCACCTACTACAACCCGCAATGAAAACGAGGAATCCGCTGCTGGACCCGTGTAGTAGGAACGATCCTCCGCTCCTGGAAAATGAGAAACCCATGAGACAACCGAAGCCATACACTGCAAATGCGGGGACCGAAAACGCTGTTGCGAGCCCGCGGTACCTGCTCCACTGACGACGCGCAGGAAGTGACGATACGCTGACCCGGAAGTGACGAGAAACCTCTGCAGACTCTAGAGAAAGCCGTCACGAAGGGTTCAGACGAGAACCGGACGTCCCAGTAGCCTCGGCCTGCCCTCTTTTTTATACGTGGGGGGCGCGCCAACCCCTCCCACAAATCCCGGCTAACAAGTTAGCCATCCCACTTATTGAAGTTTTTGTCATATGACCGACTTCCATTGGTGACATTTATTAATTGTGTCGCACAGCAAGGCGCTGCTAAAGATTATGAGACAGAATTCTAACAGGGTTATTCACAAAAGGGTGAAGGGTTTGGAGAAGGCATGAGATGAGAACAATCTAGGACAAAATAACTGAACTGGAAAGTGAGCTGAATTGGAGAGTTTTTCCAAATCGGCTATGTTGTCCTAGATTGTTCACTTCTCCTGCCTTCTCCAAACTCTTCACCCTTTTGTGAATAACCCTGTAAGAGTTCAGCTTTAATCATGAATTCCACCCTCTGCTGTTCTAAACTAGCACTGCATCAGTATAAAACTTGACCCTGACCACTTCTTAAAGGGAATTTCCAGCTTTTGAAAAAAATAAATCAATAGCGCATTTACCCCTCTTTATAAAACAAAGAATGTGCATTTATTTTCTGCATAGGAGACAGTAAAGCATTCCAACCACACTCAGTAGATCACAGGTCAATGCTCTAGCTCTTGCAGACTCTTCCTCCCATCCATGCCTGTACTGAGGTATAGACATTCAGTAACATGGGCAGGAGGAAGTGTCAGTGGACTACAAGTGCAGTAACGTCACCGCAGTTGTATTCCGTTGAGAGCACAAGTACCTCTGCCGCAGTGGTTGATGGGGCCTGTAGTTTCTCCAGTCACAGATCCTGTCAAAGGATCTGTGAATGGATGATGCAGCTGTGTGGCGAAGCCATGCCAAATTCAAACTTGTAAACAAGCCTGCGGGATGAAGAACCGCGTGATTTATGTATAAGGGGGGTGGGGGTCGGAATCTGACCATGTTTCATGTATACCCTAAATATTGGAGTAAAACAAACATGGTCAGAAAGGTTAACTTAGCCTTTAACTGGCTTCTTTTTAGAGTAAACGTCTATTTAGGTTGCTGTGAAGGATTCCAGATGCCAGGGTTGCAAATACAAAGAAACACAGTCACGTAGAATTTGCAAAATGAGAGGCAACCTAATTTGCATGCTATTGTATCACTAATTTGCTTGATAAATGACTCTCTATGTATCTTACATTTTCTATTCTGGCAAGAAACAACTCCTGAACAATTTCCACAGTGAATACTTAGAGCTTGCCCATGTGGAATAGAAGATAGGCGATACATTAGATGAAAGAGAGCTGCAGGGACTTTCACTTTTAGTTAAGGGGGGGGGGGTATAGTTGGATTAAGTTTATTGTTCATGTTTACCTTTTTGCTTCCTTTGCGTTTTGCAAATCAGCTTACATATAGGAGAAAATTGCAGAATTATTATCTCTGCTTTATACAAACATCCAGCGGAAAGGCGCAGATTGAACAATAAAGAGAAAATATTTACTCTGATGTTTGTTTAATAAACAATTTGACTTTGCGCAATTTAAGCGTATTTGCAGAAGGTCTTGTGACTTTATTCTATACAAAACATTAAAGCAGAACTCCAGGAATTGTTTTATTAACCCTTGCTGTGGGGCTACCCCACACTGCAAGGGTTAACTGCTTGTTTGTGTCTAGATTAATAAAAACAAAGAATTACTCACCCAAGCTCCAAGCTTGTTTCTTCTTAGACCGGTCCCTGGAATGTCTCTCCCCCTCCTCCTGCAGGTCCAGTAAATCATCACGCCCATACACTGTGCATAGATGTGAGGATGCTGAGGAACATTCCAATCTGCGGAGGAGGAGGGGGCATGCTGGAGGAAGCGCTTTAACAGCTGGCCGGCTGGGAACTTTGGGTGAGTATAACTTTGTTATTTTAGCATCTAGACACAAAACAAGCACTTAACTTTTGCCGTCCTGATCTGCTCCCAGAATGATGGTAATTAAGCAGGAGATTCAGATAATGTAAAGAAAGAAGCATGCTTTCTTTGTCACATCCCAGTGCCACTTCTCTGTCATTTTCAGACTTTGTCAGAAATTGTTTATTCATTTTCTTTCGAGGTCACTTGTGACCATTCAAAAGCAGTCGCCAACAATGACAAGCATTGAGAGATCTGAATTACCTGCCACCAGGATGTGTCACAATACTCCTCCACAGCTCAGCCGGTGTTCTATTGCCATAGTCCAGGACTACAGAACACACACCCCTCTCCCTTTCTCCATAACAGAGGAGAAGGGGTATGTAGTCCTCAGATAACTGGAACCAATGTAATGGAGAAGAGTGCAGCACAGGCAGAGGTCACAAGAAGTTATAGGCTGAGAAGATTTCTGGCAGAATCAAAACGTTTTTTCCATCACTTATTGAACAGATATAACAAAATAGGCTTTCAATTGTTTATATGACAGCTAAAAAGGAAACAAAAAAAAGAAGTTAACTGCTCAGGTTTACATACCCTGTAACCCATACATAAAGTCTGTAGCTTTGCATTTAATGGGACATGCTTGTCAACCCTCAGATTATTTCAGACCATACCTTTTGGTGTTTGTCAAGGTGGTCTAGACTCATCAGTAGACAACAAGAAGGACGAATGAAATAATAATTATTTCCTGCATGTGTGTTGCCACTTGGTATGTTCCTAACCATTTTCTTCCTCTTCCCCATAGATCTTCTCATCCATCTGACAGCGGGGTGACAACGATGTCGGATCGAAACATGGGATCTGGGGATCTGGCCCAGCCGGACGCTGAGATTTCAGAGAACAATGTGCCTCCTCTCTGCCTGAAACAAATCTTTCCAAAGTACGCCAAACAATTCAGTTACCTGCGAGTTGTGGAACGTATTGCCACGCTCTTCGTCCGATTTCAGGGGATCCGGGGTGCCATGAAAATGGGCCCTACCGGCTTCCGGACCTTCATTAGGTGGGTGAAGAGAGGACTGTACACTCAGTCAGACATAGCACATACAGGGGTTCAGAATCACATTTATACAATATCTCTTACATGGGCAGAATATCTGCAAAGGAAAGCATTATAGACAGAATTATCTGGCATTTGGCCCATGTATGGATTGCACAGACTTTCCGCTGGATCTTCTTACACATCACTGGGGTGGGAACGAAACTCTTTTATAATAACAGTTTGTGTGTCTATTGTAGAGGTTTTCCTTTCTGCCACAAACAGAGTAGGGTTGCTGAATAACCAGATCATATGGCAGGGGTGGGCAAACTCTGGCCCTCCAGCTGTAGTGCAACTACAAAACCCATGAGGAATTGCAAGACTCTGACAGTCACAGGCATGACTTCCAGAGGCAGATGCATTATGGGATTTGTAGTTTCACCACAGCTGGAGGATTGGACTTTTGCCCACCCTTGTCATATGGGCCAGGCTAGACATGAGATTGAGTCCACGTTCATTTTGGTGCTCCAGTCTCAGCATGTGTGACCTTATTGGCATCTAGTTAGGGTCCTCAGGATCTCTGCATGTGTGACCTTATTGGCAACTATTTAGGGTCCTCTGGGTCCCTGCATGTGGGACCTTATTGACAGCTACTCTGGGTCCTTAGAAAAGCTTAGTTTTGTAAAAAAATAACCCCAGGAAATGTAAGAATTAACCCTTGCAGTTGGTGTACCCCATGGACTGCAAAAGTCTGTTCATTTAGGTCTAGGGGCTAAAATAAAGAGCCTGTACTCACCTGATCCTCGGTCCTGTTTGGCTGCTAGACTGGTCCCCGCCGCCTCTGGCCTCTCGTAGTCTAAAGACCCCATGACGCCATCACGTAGAATGCAGCTGCATTAGACGTGAGGACGCCAAGGGATATCTCAACACCAGAGGGGGAGAGAGGTGAGCACTGACTATAACAGTGGGGGTTAGCCTCACTGCAAAGGTTCATTCTTTACATTTCATGGAGGCCTTCTTCAATAATGGCCTTCTTCAATAATAATCTTCACTTTTTGTCTGATCTCTGCAAGATCAAAAAGGAAACTGCAGCAACTCCTTTCTCCTGTTTTGGTTCTATGACAATCCCCAATATATCTTAATTCTCTCTCATTTCTCCCTTCCACGCGCTCATGTTCTGATCCCGCTGCTTCCTTTTGTAATCAGTGGAGAGCCGGCAACATTTCTCATCTGTTTTCAATACTCGTTATCGGTTTCTAGAATGGCCACTTCAAATGTAATCTGAACTCAAATGGCAGGAAAGCTAGAAAAAAATGCAGTCATTGATTAAAAAAACATTAGTGATTAACAGTGGTAGGAGTTGTGTTCTGTCAGATTTAATTCCTCCTTCTGGTCTGTGACACAACAAAAACACCCGTCCTCACCCATAATAACCCCCCTGGTTTCACCCATGGTAATACAAATAATAATGGTTTTAAAGCAGAACTCCAGCTAGATAGATTAACGTAGCTCAGCTGAAGTAGATGTATGTAACCTATTTGTCTGCCAGATTTTTTTTTTGTTCTCTGAGTCTTGTGATAACCACATTGAATAGCCTGTGTGACAACAGCACAGATCCCCTTTACAGCGTTTCTGTGTTACTTCCCAGCCTACAGACTAATTACTTGCGGCACCTCCCCTTTCAGTCTCTAGAGTGTGAAACATGTTAGGATGACAGCATGATGCAAAATTTGTTCCTTGTGCCACTCCCACTGCTAGCCTGATTTCTGGTGTGCAGGGGGTTTTAGAAATATAAAAATGGCAGTGTTTAAAATTTATATGAGAAGCTGCTCGAGTTTTATTGCTCAGGCGTTTTCTGCTGTCTCCAACACAGTGTGACCTCAGTGGATTTTTGAGATCAGGCTGCTGGCATGATAGAAGACACCAGGGGCACAGATTACTGTTACATCACTTCAAAGTTCTGCCACATCCTCTCCTACATGGTTTTCATTCATTAATCCTCTTTTGTGGACTTTCCCTTCTGATAGGACACCTGCTCCAAGACTTCCAGGGTGATCTATAGGAATGAAATATTACAGAAATGTATTGTCGTCCACCAATTTATTTCCATTTATTACCTTAGAAGTGGCCAAGCAGCTAAGGGAGGCAGTCGATTGGCCTTCAGCTTCAATGTGTCAGCTTCTTCGGTACATAAATCACCTTTGTATCCAAGATAATTCCTGCAAGATTTATTTATCTTTATTATGGAGGAAACCATTATATAATGCAACAATAGATTTTTACTTATATCCTATTACATTATTACATTAGAGAAAAAAGTTAATGCTACAAATGGCTACATAATCCTCTTGTGTTTAATCTGCGTGCTGTTTGTGCTTCTTGCAGTCGTCAGCAAGGTTCTGCAGATAAGTTTATGTTAATTCTCATTGCTCTCACTCCAAAAATAAACATAAATTCAAAGGCCCAATTTCCCGTTATGTCACATTTTATGCACCTGAAAATATATTTGTAACCAAAAATTCCTTCCCCTGTGACTTT